CAGACAATATACTGATAACATTGCTATCATTGTCATTGTTGAATGCTGAAGTAATTATTTCATCTGTATAATTTAGCCAGATAATATACTAATAACATTGATATCATTGTCATAGTTGAATGTTGAAGTATTTATTTGATCTGTATAATTTAGCCAGATAATGTACTGATATTTGCTTCCATTTTCATTGTTGAAGGCTGAAGTAATTAATTGATCTGTAAAATTTAGCCAGATAATGTACTGAAATTTGCTTCCATTTTCATTGTTGAATGCTGAAGTGATTAATTGATCTGTAAAATTTAGCCAGATAATATACTGATAACATTGCTACCATTGTCATTGTTAAATGCTGAAGGAATGCCAGACTGGTTTCTTTACAAAAGAAACCGAGGTAAGACCTAATTTCAGAATAATGTCACTCAGAAAAATCAATATTATATCAATTATATTTTCTGTCAGTCTTGGTCCAAAACCAATATGTCTGCTGATTGTTGACACCTTGTGGAAGTGTAGAACACTGGAATGTGACTTTTAAGTAGAATACCTGAAAAAGATAATTAAAGGGATGATAAAACCGACCCACTAGGTTTTCCTGTGTAATAAAAAGTTGTTGCTCATATTTTTGCTCCACTGCACATTTCCACTTTTTGACCAGAATTCTCTATTAATCTGTTTCACGCTAAAAATGTAAAAAACGAAAAATGCAAAAAAAATATTGCATGAAAAAATGCTTAAAATTCTGCAATCTGTGTACACAATTGAAGCTAACTGTAAATCAAGTACTAGATAGTTTGTTAAAAAAAGAATGCAAAAATGTGTTTTAAAATAATACAACATATTTTCCAACATGAAATATCTTCTGTTAACTTTGTTATGAAACAGAAAATTTAAGAAGAAACGGAATTATTGAACAAAAAATTCAGTTCTTTAAAGAACAAATGGTTACTGGATAAGTTGTTTTTAAGAGAAAAACACTGTTGACAAGTGGCTTGGAGTCAGTCTGATCATGCAAATCCCAGACTTTCAATTTAATGGATATTTACTACTTTAAAAATGCATACCCACAGTAGATGGAGTGGTAGGGGGTCAAGGACATTTAATAATATTTCTTGAATATTCTTCAAAGTCTTGTTCGTCCAAATGTTCCAAATAATCTTTACTGGTACAAGTAGTAGGCTCAATAACATTTTGTACACTTTCGTCTAATAACATTTGGTCTAGTAACATTTGGTAAAAGTAATTTTTAGTAAGGAAATTCGTCTAAAACTGAACAGCCGAAATGAGATGGTTTCGTGAAGCAGTGCATTTACAGAAAGATGTAACAATCTTCTGCCCCTTAAAAAATGGTTGTCAAAAGTACTTCATCATTCCCATATTCTTTCTTATGCTATGTTTGGTCTATGGTAAACAACAACAAAGAATCATGTAAATTATCTTATTAACTATGTAAAACTAAAAAAAATTATTCATTTATTTTGCTCATAGATTTGAATAATTGTTTACATAGTTTTTATTCGTCAAATAATTAGCTTTATTCGCTGCTTGGTAGACACCAACCTCTCCTTCCTTCCAGAATTACTGGTCAGATCTTATCCCACACAATTCTATAGTTAAATTCAGTGGGACCATGACTCCTGTTTTTGAAATAACTCGCACTCTTTCCAGATGTTGGGATTGCTCCAAACCAACATGTTCCATGTGTGCTTAAAACTCTCCACATTGTTTGTGGTGGAAACTCCACCACTAAGGATAGAGCCACACTGATTCCAAGATTCAATGCTGTATAATGGTTGGTGTCTTGTACCTTTTCCATATCCAGCTCTTGTCTCTGCTATTTTTCCAATCCATGTATTTGTGTAGTACAACCCATACTCATCTAGTTCTTGACTCATCTCCTTCCAATCCTCATCCTTGTCAATCTTACATTCGATATAGTCTAGTACAAGATCAATATAAAACCTAACCACTTGCTGTGGTGGCACATATGTACATGGTTTCCTGAATATTCACATTTTGATAAAACAGGCTCTGCAGTCCTTTCTCTCCTAGCTTTTCCACAGGGCTAATCGAAAATGGAACTGGCATCAATTGTGTTGTACAGAGGAAAATATTTTCTTCATTCCATTAATCACAGCCTTCTCATAGTCAGTGACAATTCTTTCAAGCCTGCCTGTATCCCCAACCTTTGCCTTAATCCACACTCAAGCATCATCTCATATGTTCCTTGTTCTTTATTAGGAAGCAGTGCATAACCACAGTCAGTCCCTATCCTTCCCTCTCCGACCTCACCATCACATATGTACACCTGCACATATTGCAAATGTGTTTTTTAATCTTATGTAATAGCAAAAAGCAGCTTCATAAATAGATATTATTGTACATTTAATAAATTTGACCTGATTGTGTGGTTTTGGAGCTGTCTTAAAGGTTCTGTCAAGGAGCCAGGTTTAATGGGTACACAGCAAGTTTGCCCCCCAGTCACTTAGAAAAACAGTCAGGGAGTGGGTTTCCTTCTCATTAATCCAAGCTTGGTTAAGTAGAAACTCTGCTCAATCTGCGGTTCTAGAGTTTATAGCAGGTACTTCACATCCAGTCTAAATGATCCTTAGAAATTGAAGGTCTGGGGTTGATTTTTTGTTTTTCAGGCCATAATGACATTTTAATAGATCCAGCAGAAGAAACACTGCTTATGACTGTTTGACTGATTTCCTGGAGAACTGCCTTTGCTATAGTAAAGCTTGGCAGCTGAGAAAATTCCTTGATGCTGCTCATGCTTCTTAGTCATCTTTTCTGGTAGTAAGGTGGGCAGAACAAGATCTAATGGCACACCTCCAATAATTTTGTTGCAGAAAAGTTGTTTAAAGTGTACCTGTGATGGTTTTTGTCAATCACAACCAGTTTTCCCCTGGAACTGGTTGAGTATCTAATTAATTTTTCCATTGAGATCCTCTCAGTTCAACATGTTTTAGAAGAGTGGAGAATTTCTCCAATACGAATTGCGAACTTCATGATTTTGTTTCACGGGTTTTCTCCTATTTTTGCAGTGTATATATAAAATCACTTAACATTTTTTTCAGACCAAATTACTTACTAAAAGTTACTTAGACCAAAAGTTACTTAGACCAAAAGTTACTTANAAATGAACTAGACAAAAGTGAACTTAGACAAAAGTGTACTAGACGAAATTTTACTGATATTTTTATGATAATTTTAGGGCATTGAAGTTTTGATACCAAAAATTGAGAAAATGACATGTTTGAGGAATTTGCTTTTGTATTAAAATGAATGTTTCAGTATATTCTGGAAGCATTTTGATACTTATTTGGGCCTTAGCATCTACATTGTTAACCTTTGCTTTTGCCAGCAATATCAGGTCAATTATCATTTTGTTCATTACTTCTTTATATCTTGTGGTTGTATTTCAATAGCAATATCTAATTTGATGATTTACCTAATTTTTTTTTATATTGTTAGCCTGATTGTATTTCAGTATTCGGCTTCAATATAAATGTCTTATTGATTGTTTCATCACAGAGCAATTTTATTGACAAAATCTACTGAGATTCCTGTAGAGACATCTGCTGAAATTGTAGACCAAAACATGGTGAAAAAAAATAAAAATATAATAATTGTAAACAAAATAACATCTTTTATTGTAGTATCCTATTTTGGTAGAAGCAGGTTATGCTGTTGATAAAACAAATTAGTCTTTTGATTTTCAGAATTATCCTTAGCTTTTACACACTACATATATTTACTTATGTTAAATAATATTTAGGCCTAGTGTTTGTAATAGTTTAGGATCATTTACAGAAAAAAATTTAACTTAACTTCAAAGATTTCAACTTATGGATATCTTTGACAAACAACATAATATAATATGATAAATTTGACTTGGAATTGGATAATTAGACCAGATTGTATAGCAATACATCAAAACAGATTCGGCACAAATTAACCAAAATTATAAATCCAGCCTGCATAAACTAAGGCAAGACTTATTGGTATGAGTACTTCAAAGCATCCCCAAACCCATATCATGTCAAATTGATGGATCATGTGGTCTATGTTGATTCTGAGGTAAATATTTTTCCTAGCCTCAGCAATGTACAGAAATCACTTTTGTTATTTTAAATTTTAAATAGCAATGTTCAAAGTTTTAATTAAATAGTGAGAATTTTAGACTATTCTAAAAATATTTAAGCATTGTGTACATAAAATTTCTTAATTGCAAAATATATTTGTCTAATTTGTAAGCCTAATTTTCAGATTCTTAAATCATTTTAAGACAGAGCTTTTAAACTTTGGGTTTATAAAATTTTAATTATAGCAATGCCTCTTTAGCCTAATGCAAAGCAGGAAACATTTCATTTGCTTTAGGGTGTAATTCTTGATTTTCTTGATAAATTATCAGTGAATTGGTTCATATCTTAAAGCTCAATCAACTATACAGCACAACTATCCCACCAAGATTTCCTACTTCTAGGGATTCCATTATTCCAGAAAAAAATATTTTATTTAAAAATCTATAAAGCAATATTTTGGAATTTTGGAACAGGGTTTTAGAAATTATAATTAAGTGTAAGCCCTAAAGAAGATGTTGGGTTGAACTAATTGTTGACCCTGAACCCCTTCTAAAAAGCTCATTCTCACATTTCTCCTTAGATTACAGTTTAGTATGGGGTGACTTAACCAACTTTTGAAGTAATTTTTGTGATGGTTTAATTTACCCCCCCCCCTTTTTCAATATGCTTTAAGTGAACATCAAATTAAGGTTCAAAATTAAAAATTTTGTTTAGATTGATGCAATGAAACTGATTTATGAAGACAAAAGGGCAGTCTTTTTGGGAGAAAGGGTAATAGAGAGAGAAATCAATAAATAGAACACTAATTACTTGGCATTTTTCCTAATTGTACGTAAGTCGTAAACAATTCTTTATTCTTGAGGCATATGTTGAGGGGACTTTATTGGAAAACCCAGAATTTCTGGTGACCCTTCAGAATAAAGGACAACCATTTCATTACTGTGAGGTAGGAATCTGAAAAATGAAAAAACAAAAGATGGTTTGAGACAGTGTCTGAACAGTTTTCTGTTAATAAATTGTACTTTTTAAAAATTAAATTTTATAAATTATTTTTAGTTTAGTTAATTTGAATTTGAAAAAAAATTAATTTCAAAAAGAAAAAAATATATTCATAATTTTGTAAACAGATTATTATCAACTGTTGTGAATTAGGGAACATTAAAGGTTCTGAAGAATCTATCCCTAATTGTAACATCCTGATATTGTAACAGTATCTGTCAGTGTCAAAGTGAGATGGATAAAATTATTGTTTCTGGCATCATTCAATTTATTAACCTTTGTTACATTGTGTTAGGAGAAGCTGGACTATTCTTACAAGTGTATTTTCTAGTGCAAAAGAATTCAATTTGGGCAGAACACATAACTTATCATTTTTTGATAAGTGAGCAGGTTATCAAACCATTTATAGAATTACTTTAGAATAATTCATGTACATTAATTAATATAAAATTAGGCTGATTTTATGATGCACCTTGACAGATTTTACCCATCAATCATATTTGAAGAACCTGCTTTTTATTCAGTAAGGTTATAATTAGCATTTTAATTAAAGTTTTAATAGTTTTACTTTAGTATTTTGAAATTTGGATAAAACTTTTTAGAAAAAATAATAAATTAGCCTTTTTGCACTGGAAGGCCATTTTTAGCTTTACACTAAAATGCTATTTTCAAACTTTTAATGTAATGTAAATGGAAATATCTAGGACTAGATATTTTTCACTTTTTTACATGATTGTTTTGTTAGTTAACCAATATTAAACAATTGTTTTTAAAAAAGAAAGACATTAAAGAAGTTGTTTTATAGTTTAAGTTTGTCGTTTCATTAATAAATTTTGGTCATTGTTAACTACTTTACATTACTATGAAAACCATATGATTGTTAACAACATTGCATTAGTCAGTAAATTTTAAAGGCCCCATTAAAATAAGTAAGTTTTGTCAAATATTCCAATATTTTTACTATTCTAGATCAATTCATTGCACTAATGATGAACTTAGTAAAAAATAAAGTTGAAATCAAATGTAAAAAAACTCAAATTTATTTTTTCAAAAATGATACAAACATGAGAACCATCATATAATCATTTTTTTTTCATTTTTTTTAAAGTTCAAATAAATGCTTTATTTAGTGTGACTAATCCTCTTAAATTGAAAAATTTATAGCCCATCATTGATTCTTTTGAAATGAGTCCAATTCTGAAAAAAATAAATTATGTAATAATGTAATAATTCATTATTAATAATAAATATAATTTCTTTTAATAGGAAAAGCTTAACTTTGAGCACATGGCAATGGCATATATTTCATTGGGAGCAGGCTTAGGAATTTCTTCATTAGGAATAATGGATTTATTTATTATTGGTTGACAGAATATTTATTTTCTTCGTTTAGTAAAGCTTTCAACCAGCACATTAATCATTTCCATTATTGTATTTCAGTATTTTGTTGGGAATTAGCTACTAAAAGAAAACATGTGAATTAGAATTATTGAAATGAGAAAAAATAAATATTAAAATTCAATCAATTTATTTTGTAAAGCACGATTTCATGTGTAATTTTTATATTGTATAATTAATAATAATAATTAGTAATAATTAATGTACACTCAAAGAGATGGGAATGTACTTTTTAAACAAATCAAATGGAAGATAAAAATTATTAAAACAAAAACAAACAATAGATATAAAGTACCATTTTTAGCTTTATCTTGTGCTTTGAACAAGAAACATACCTTTTGATTATGCAATATCTTTCTTAAAAAAAGTCTATTAATTTTGGGTATTAGGTCAACTGGGGTGTACTGGGGGGGGGGGGGTATAGTGTGGTAACAGAGGGTGCTTGGGAGAACTTGTGGTTACTGGGGCTACATAGTGGTACTGGGGAGTAATAGGGGGTAAAAGGGCGTAAATCAGGTACCAGCACCCTGCAGTACCTAACAGTACACTGAAGTACTCTATATATAGTTACCCCATTACCCCATAGTACCCCCATCTCCCAATATTACTCCCCCATCCAGTACCCCCAACACCCAGTAGTACCCATCAGAAGTACCCAAAAGTACCCCACATTACTCCACTGTATCCCCAAATATCCTCTATTACTCCATATCATAATTTGAGTTTGTTTCCCTTATGTCCATTTAACAGCCCAAATTTTTATTTTGAATAGTCTTTTTTGTTTGTTTATTTTCTTGTGATTTCATTAAAACTGACGAGGGTCAATCCAGAAATATATTTTCAATAAATGTGGAACTAACATCTACTTTTTTTACTCTACAAAGGTTTGGTCCATCACCATCACTGAATTTTTAATATTACTCCCTAGTACTTCCAGTTACCCGCCAGTACTAAGCAGTACTCCTACAGTGCCTGTCAGTATACCAAGTACCTCTAGTCCCCAACTGCACCCAATACCACCCAGTACCCCCCAGTACCAAGTAGTATGCAGCAGTACCCAGGAGTTTCATACAATAACCCACAGTAATCCCTTTTTCTCTCCATTAGCCCCTACTACCCCTCAGTACCGCAAAGTAGCCTCAGTACCAGCAGTATCCCCCAGTACCCCACAGTACCCCCAGTACCCCCAGTACCCCCCAGAATCCCTCAGTACCCCATAGTACTCTATTGTATTCGACAATACCCTGTGGTACCCCTTCTTCCTCAAGTTTGCACCCAGTAAAACCAGTTTTAAAACCCGGGTTTTAAGAATGGAGTTATGCAGTTTTGTGGATATCAATATTTTTGTTTACTGCTATTTTACACAAATGAAAATATTGCAAAACTAGAGTAAAGTGCAACCCAGAAATTTTTTTATATANAATAAAAATTCTGTTTGGTTTGGCACCTTTTTTTTGCAGTATCTTTCCTACTTTCTGAAAGGTTTCACATTGGTATGTATAAGGATATCTAACTAAGTGAATTTAGAAAAAAACATGTTGGTTAAAGAAAGTTTTATATAAATATATGCAATCACCCAGAACCAAAAAGTGTTATCAAAATTAAACTTTTTTAGGTTTACAGACGTTTTAAAAAAATGCAAAAAAGTATTTCTGACACCCCTGAAAATGTATCCAATCCCCAAAGTAGGAGTTTTGAACATAGAATTTGCGCTGAAACTCAGGATTTACAAATCTTAAACAGTTTAATATGTCTTAAATGAATCCGAAAGAAGTTTTCCACAACACTGCATACTCAGTTCAACTACCTTACATAGCCGGTCAGTCCCTTTAAACAAAATCATTAAATCCTTTTCATTATTGTTGTATCCTATTCCATTCCCGATTATAGTGAACAGTCTCTTAGATACAATAGGATGTCAGAGCAGGCAGTACTGCCCGAACCTTAGAAGAGTAGACATGCATACATAGCTGTCAGTCTACTTCTATCGTACTACTCATATTGTCTATTTAGTTACAGAGAAAACCTGATTGAACAAGTTACTCAAGGAGAAGATGAATAGAATACCTGTGGTAGTAGGAAATCAAGCGTACATGCCTGAAGTTATTCCAGAAGATGTAGATGAGGTTGATCCTGCAGACCTTACTCCTCTTGTCAGTGGAGACACTCCTATAGTAACTGCTCCAGCCTCTGAGGATGGAGAAGTAGCTGAGGATGAGGTTGAAGACACACATGAAGAGCTGGTAAAGGAGGTACATTTATTAGAAGAGTTGGGAAAGAAGGTACAAATCCTCTTTGCAAATATTGATGCATTGAAGGGTTGCCTTAGAACCTCCAATGTTGATAAGCTTGGAGATGCAAGTACTCGTCAGCCCTCGGTGGTCCCAGATATTAATGTATGGGATACTGGGAGAGCTTGGGAGAGAGAGTATTGTCTTTACACTGAAGCAAGTAGAGATGATCTTAATATCCGCTTGCACAACCAGATCTGGGACATGCTCCAGAAGATGCAGGACAATGGACAATCAGAGCTGGAATACAAATGATAAATATATAGTTGATGGATTAATCAATATATTGGTTCTGAATGTTAAAATCAATAAACTGACTGACAAGGTCCTTAGGGATCAGGTTAATGCTCCTAGTAAATTAAACGATCATGACCCATTGCTAAAGTATGATAAGACTATGCTTTATCATCAATCCATTGATTATAGTTATAATGTGTTTGTATATTCATTTATTAAAGATGTATAAATAAATGTATGCATACTGTATGAAATATTATTAGCAGAAGGTGAAAAAGGGTGTCATCAGAATGCAAAGATAATTGATCATATAAAGGTTAGATCCAAATAGGGAGATGGCCCGATGTATATCTTTATCAGGTTGCAAAGATAATTGATCACATAGAGGTCAGATCTGAGTAGAGAGATAACCTGATGTGTGATCTTATCAAAATATGTAAATGTATGAGTTAAGACTTATTGCTCTGAGTAATTTGTAAGAAAATACCACATTATTAACATTTGCTTTTAAATTGTAAGCAGAATTAGTTTTTATTTTATTTATTGAAAAAAAAAATATACATGCAATTAAACTTTTGTATATCATCAATAGGCTTTCCAAACTTTCTTTTCATCTCTTGTGCAAAATTTCATTCATCTATTTTAAAGTGTGCTAAAAATTCTATTTTCCCAAAAATTTTCAAAAAACCATTTTTGCAAAATTTAAACTTAATTTTACAATAAAATTTAATGAACTTTTCAAAGATTTCAAATTACAAACAAATGCTTGTCAAGTTGGATTTAATACTCAATTTACCAATTTTAACCCTATCCCCGCTGGGGTACTTGAAAACCAGGATACGCCGGGGGGGGTCAATTTGATTACCCAATTTATTTATATTTATTAGATACATATATATTCCCAAATCTTCTAACAATGTCTTTAGAAAAGACATGATTTTAAAAAAACTTTTACATTAACTGGTTCCATTTTCCCAGTTTTTTTTAAATGAATCTAAAATTTGTGTTGGTTTTTTTTTGAAAGCTGGCCATATATATTATTTTTGATAATTATAATCTGTTTACATGTAATACATGTTTAAAGACAATTTTTGTAGTAAGTCAATAACATTTGTAATTTGATTCGAGTCGAAAAAGTAAAATGAAAATCAATTAAAATATAGAAAAATAAGGAAAATTCCAAAATGTTAAAATCATTGGTATTTAATTTCTCAGTTAATAACATTTTCTTTCATTAAAAATCTCCTTTGCTCATTGCATCATAAAAAATTTACATTGCAATGAAGAAAGTAGATTGTAGATTAAATCATATTAAAATTAATTCTCAATAATTTTAATGTGGTTTGGATAAAACAAGAAATAAAATTTGAAGGGACAGCAAACAAAACAATACAGTTTTTTTATTATATTTATTCAAAGTAAAGAAACTGAGGAATGCATGATCTAGATATCCAATGTGAGTACTTTTCACCTCCAGGATAAATGTTTGATCCCTTAATCAAATTGATCATTGAGTGTCTCTACCATCCCAGGATATCAATGAGGAAATCATAATATTCTGATACATTTTCAACACTGTGTTGAAGACCTACAAATTCTGACAGATTTAACTATTAAAGTTTATAATATCAAAGGTTTGCTTGTTCAGAAAAATAAGGATGAAGATTCTTAAATTAAAACTGAGAAGGAAAATACAGATTAGTAAATTAAGTGTGCTATTTACTTCAAAAAAACCATAAAACCGAATAATGTTGTACATTATTCTGGGATTACTTAATACATTTGAGCTCTATAACCTTTTGGTCGCTGGAACATGAAAACTTGAGATTAATATTGCTAAAACAAAGTGCCGTATTGTCCCAGCTCAAAAATAAGGGCCATATCCTCCCAGCTAATAAAATAAGAGATACTAAGAAGATAAAATAATGGGCCATAACATCTATTAAAAAATTTTCATCGAAGGTATCTAAGTCATTTTGCAACAATAATAGTTTTATGAATCTAATTGGTTGGAAAAAACACAAAATGTATTATCATAAATGTCATTCAAAATCATGCTATCTGTAATAATTTGATTTGATATGTTTTGAGAAAACAGCAATTCACATCTACTGGTGATATTTGGGTTTCAGTTGTAATCAACCCAAGCTACCACAAACATTGTACAATGTCAGCTGATCCTGTTTTACACTAAATCTGATGGCAAGGAAACAGCAAAAAATAATACTATTGCCACAATCTATATATCTATCACAGTGGTAATTAAAGTTAGACATATTAGATATTCACTATATCTGACCAGCAAACTATATGATTTCCTATATTTAACCACTTTTCAGACCCAGGTCATGTTAAAAGAATGCCTTGGATTTTAAAAGCATTTAACTCAAATTCCTGAGATTCTCAAAAATAAAATGTTGACAAAGTTTTCTTTTTCATTAAGAAGTAAGTTTATTAAACCTAAACATGTAAGATTTTCCTAACACATTTCCCCTGGCAGCAACTTCCACAGGGTATATTCCTAATTGAAGCACTAAACCCATTTTAGCTGCAGAGCTCACAGTACCTTGCTAACCCATCCTTTCAGCTTCGGAAATTTTACATTTGGGAAGATGTCACTTGGGAAATTGTCACTTGGTAAGTCACCATTGGAAAAATACCTTTTTTTAAACTTGATATTGTAGCTTAGGTTTTTCAGTCAAGGAAAAGTTTGTATCTCATAGTGAAAGAAATCTAGATGCTATAACTTCTCTGATAACTTTACTAAAAGTCTAATTTGAGACTATCTAACTCTGTATCTAGCCACAACTCAAGGCTCTCTATTCTCAGCCAATACCCAGGCTCTGTGTACGTCCGTATAAATCGTCGAATTCTATTGAACTGCTATATTTACAGACAGGTAAGACAGGTAAATAGAACTGACCAGAATAGCTGGACAGCATAAACATAAACATAGATAAAATAGATAATGAAACACAGGTAACAAAGATATTGATAGCGTGATTACATCATTACAGAATATACTACAATAGTCTAAAGTAAAATTTCAGACTTGCAATGATAAAGTATCGTTTGATACTTCTTGGAGTATTATTACTAAAACTTGGATCTGTATTCACTGATTGTACAGAACAAGAAGATCAGAATAGAAGGAATACTATCCAATGGTTTATCAGGAATACAAAATTTTCTACTTTTTTAATAATAAAATAAAATAGTAATCAAATGAATTGAATTTTTAGATTCAAATATTTTATAATTTCTAGCTGAATGTGTTTAATTTTTACCAATAAGTGTAATGAAAAAAAGACGTAAAATATTCCGAAAATTTTATTCCTGTAATTATAAAAAAAAGATTTTTAAATTACATCATTTCAAAATTTATGATTGCTATAACAAATATTTTAAACTTACACAATACCTAACATTAACCATCAAAAGTTGAAAATATTAAAAGGAAAGCTCAAGATTCATTTACATGCCTTGATGTATATCTGGGGTAAGTTTAATTTAAATAATTTCTTTGAAAAAATAGAATTTTTTATTTTAAACAAATTTCAGGATTGATAATTTAATCAATTCTGGAAATCAACAGTTACTCATAAATAATGAAACAGACAACTATAAAGTTCCATTAGATTCTTCAAAGTGTTTAATTATTATTTCGAATAAGGTAAGATAATTGTGCACACTTTAATTTTTAGCTTTAGCACCTTCATTTTAAACACTATCACCTTGATATTTTTGACTTTAAGAATTAATAAATTAAAGGATTTTTTTTGAATGCCCAGTCCTTAAAGGATTAAAATACAAAATTAGTTACAAATCTTCAATATATAAAATTAAGAATTAATTAATTATAAGAGCTTAATCTAAAAATTGATTTTCTGTATCAGTTTTTTTTTTATGGAAAACAAGTTTCTTAGGTCTTAGTAATCATTAAGACAAGATGCTGTACATTGTAGCCTCGTCATTTAGTTAACTGAGGTAGATGCAGTCTTGAAGCTTGGTTATTCTCCTTCCCTTGTTATAATTCTTCAACAAGATGTTTCTAACCATCTAAACCACCTAGGAATAGAAATTAAATTTGTAAACTTGAGATTTGGATGAGCAAATCAAAATAAATTAAAACATACTTTTTAATTTATAATTTTAAGCAGATTTAAGACGCCTGACAATTTTCTCAAAATGTTTGTCAACATTTACATATTGGTAAGCTTGTTAAAAGAATATCAAAAAAAGGAAGTCTGGCCAAATTTTTAAACAAATTTATATTCACTAGAAATTCAAGGCACCTAGGCTTTTAGGGCGCTTCGTGCCCATCTTATATTTAAATTGTCAATATGGTCTTTTTTGTTTACATTTTAAAACAAAGATAAAAAATTTACAGATTTTTAAAAAAAAATTCGCACATTTTCAAGAATTTAAATTATTTTACAAAATTAAAAACCTTTAAAACACAATTTTTAAAAATTTTTATCATTCATAAACCTTCCCTGTGGTCATGTGATGTCCCACAAAAAATTTGGGCCCTATCGGTTCAGCCGTTTTGACGTTTATTGGATACAAACAGACAAACAAACAGACAGACAAGCCAAATTTATATATAAATAAAATATACTTTTGTATTTTAAAAAAATACACACCTATTGTTATACAAGTGGTAAGTTTTTGCTTAATGATGAAAAAAATTTGAATTATTTGTATGATATCTGATACAGCAGTGGCACTGGAACATACATTTTCAATATGTTCAGAAAAGTTTACCAGCGAAGGATAACCCTGATTAGAACTAAATTACAGGGACCTACATAAGCAGAAGTTTAGTGGTGTCTGGTCAACATATTATTCAACTGTAGTTTTTGACAAAAGTCAAGATTTAACTCATCAAGACTCTTTTTATAATCAGAAAATCAGGTCAGAAGTTTTAATAAGATATCAGGTATTTGTATAAAGTCTGTTTAGATTTGCTTGAAAATAACTTTAGCAACAATAAATGTTAATTAACTAATTTAGCAAAGAAGGGGTCTGAAACATTAATCTTAAAATTTGATGATGGTGATTAACCAAACTTAAATAAGTAAAGTAGATGTTTCACATTTTTCATAGAAACCCTCATCCACCCAGGCTCTATCCTTCCTATTTGATCAGCTCAGTATGCTTAGTTCATGAATGCCTAGTTCATAATGTCCAAATAACATAATGCCTAGAGAAGACAATTCCTAGAACTAGGCATTCATGAACTAAGTATTATGAGCCTTTTTGATCAGCTGTAATGTATCAGCATTTCTGATAATTGCAATAGTGAAATATAAAACCAAGACATGCCTATTGCCTAGTTTGCTAACTAAAACACATAGTGTAGAGTGTAGGAACAGGGTGTCAACATATTGTTGGATTTCTCTTTCGAAAATTAATCAAGAACTTGAACGGGAAATTAAAGCACAGGGATAAAACATTGGAAAACAAGTTGAAGTGCAAAAATGAAGTAAAACAAGAACTGTGACAGGGTGTGTGCTTTGACCATCATCCATTTAATTTATACATATTTTTAAAAACTAAAATAAGAAAAAATAAAAATTTTAAAAAGTTCCACATTTTATTGAAAATATATTTCAGTCAAGGGTGACGATGATCAAAATCAAAAAGTCCATCTGATTTGTTCAACATCTACAAATTGTTAAAAAGTTACATTTTAACATGTGACTTTTTATGCCTAGAGTGTAAAGAAAGTGTCAAGGGATTGTCGTAGAAAAAAGTGAACTCTAATACTTGCATTGCATTGCATTGCATAGGATTCACATTAAAAAAATCATTTCAAAATCAAATAATATTTACCTGTTTATTATTTGGACTCAAAAAATTCAAAAATCTTAAATCTTTATTAACAGTATTAGTCTAAAAAATTCTAGACACAGTGTAAATAATATTCACTTTTGAAATTTTTATTTTTTATATGAACTTTACGCACTGTTGACAATATATTAGGAGTTGAATTTTTTTGACAGAAAATCAAAAAAAAACATTTTTTTCAAACATTTTCTCTATTTGAATTTTTTTTTAAAAATGAGGCTTAGAGATCTCTCTAAAATTGTGTAATTTCCTTCTTTCATATATATTATTTGTTTTTAAAAGGATAAGAGTTGTTCAAACTGAGCCATTTTTATGAATAAAACACTTTTTTGCAGTCCAATCAAAGGATGAACATAATATTTTAAACTTAATTGATGGATAATCAAACTGATAAGATCTTTAAAATCACAAGAAAAGTATCCTGTAAACTTAAACTTTATTTAAATGTTATTGAAGGAAAAATTAAAGAAAATTTATTTTATTTGTAATTAGATTTAAATTAATTTTACTTGGTTGAAGATGACATTTAAATCTAGCAGTGCTTAATTTAACAAACTCAGAGGGTTCATTGATACAAAACTTGTGACAACATCAATTAAATTTATAAGAACACAATTCTCACTGAATACTGTTAATAATGACCTCCTATATTGTACAGGGTTGGTTACAATGAAATCCCTGTATTTTTTTCTCTAATTAATGATAACTCAGACAGTCAAACACAGGAAGGACTGTGGCTGAGAACTTTTACAGGTAATATTTGGAAATAATGACAGCACATGTCTTTCTATTTGATTTGAATTTAGATAAGTACAAACTTCAACCCCTCTTTATAAATGCAAATTATTCCATGGGAGGAAAAGATCCTGACACTGGGGATTGGCTGGGAATTATAGGAATGGTGAGTATTTTTTACTTATGATTGAAATCTGCAGATATTTGAAAAACTCTTTAACAGGTTAGATATGATGAAGTGGATCTTGCTGTTGGGTCTCTTGGAACAGACCCTGAAATGTAAGTAATTTTATGAGTAATAAATGAAAAATTTTGTGATCTTTCTTAAATTTCTTAAATTTATTTATTCTGCTTGTCTATAAAAAACCACAAATATATATATCCTTATTTCTTTTTTGATTCTGTTCACTGTGTTTTCATTTTTCCGGTAGCTTCTAATTCAATCAGTCATGTACTTAGTTATCACTAATAAGTGCATCATTGGTAAGAGATAAATTCAGAACCACAGGTGGTAACATTTTTATATCTCATCCCCCAATTAGAGAAAAATTCAGAACCTTCAGGGTTTCCAATCGGAATTCTGTTGCGCGGAATTGCAGGCAATGGTTGCTTCCGCAATTGCGCAAAAAATAGCAAAAAAGGAAGCAATTCAATATTCACGGAATTGTTTGGAATAGTGCCAAATTTCGCGGAATTGCGTGGAATTGTGCAGAATTGCGTGCATCGTTATTAGTTTCATATATTAAAATCAATAATTTATGCAGCAGATACAAGAATGGAATTAATTATCTCTGTTGATTTTAATAAAATGGAAGCCCGAGTGTCACATGTTTCGACAATTTTAAAATTTCTTGTGGTTAAGCTACTAATTATCAAGTTAATATGATACATTTTATTTTTGTTAACATTGGATAAACATTAAAATGAAAAAATTTTTTGGTTAAAATTGTAAGGTTCGTTTAATCAAAATTGTATATTCTGCTTCAGTGAGAACCAGAAAACTATAGAACAGAAAGACAACATCATAGTGTATTTAATGTTACAAGTCGAACAAAATTAATTAATTAACTTTATAATCACTTATCCAGTTACATGGGTCTGCTTGAGTCTAAACTGCACATCTTCTTATGCCATATTTATCTCGTTATCATGCTGCAAATGAATATTAAAAAACAAAATATTAAGTTTAAATTCAATTTTCTTAGCATTTGAGTTTAAATTGAATATTTTGTTGTTGAAAGGAATTGCGCAATAATTAATTGCATTTTATCAAAAAATTGAAACACAACGCATAAAAGTTGGACGGAATTGCACGCAATTGTGTGCAATTCCGTTCCGTTCATTTGCGAGCAAGTAAAATCCAGTTTCGTTTGAAATCCTAGTGGTATCATCTATCTATTATCATCCTCCAATTAGAGAAAAATTCAGAACCATCTATGGTGAGATCTATCTATCTCTCCCTCCAACTAGAAATAAATTCAGGGTGGTAACATCTATCTATCTCATCCTCCAATTAAAGACAAATCCTGAAATCTGTGCTAAGCAATAAATATAAATCATAATATGTAATTGTACTGTACTGTGTACTATGTACTGTGCATGGCATATTGCCTAGTTAGAGATAGAGTTACTGTGCAATAATATTGTTGTTCATGAAGAAATTCACTCTTAAGGAACCCTCAATTAGAGGTTTTGAGCCTTATGATTTATGTTTTACTTGTAGGGTATGACCACCAGAGGTATTAAAGTTTTTTTAAGAAGTTCTGACGTCATAAAAAGTTACTGAAAATGATAAATAAAAGGGTTAATATTTGGTATTTCAAATTGCAAAACTTTTCATAAAACCTGTTTAAGAAATGAGTTTCTTTCTCCTTCTCCCCAGCTTGGAGAAAGTTATGCAAGTTGGGTTACAAGGGTAAGTTTTTAATGCTTGCTAAATTTAATTTTTCCTTATTACCTTCAGATTGGGCTTTAAATCCAGCATTTCAAATTCTTTTTGAAATAATAAATGAACAGTATCAATGGGTTCAAGTTACCTGTAGGCATGTAAATATTTTTCAAGCAATTCATTAACAGATAGTATAGCTAATGGATATCAATATTTTAGGTTGTTTATTTTTAACTGTAGAACTGTAGATCCTTTTTTTACAATATTTTCATGTTTTTTTCTAAAAGTTATAGTTTGTTAATTATTTCAATTAACTGAAGATGATTAAAAAATCAATTTATTACTGTGAAAATAGGGAGGAAAAATATGAAAACAACACTTAAAAACTTTTATAAACCAAAAATTACTTATTTCTTTTTTATTTTTCATTCTTTATTTTTACTTGTACAGTTATACATCCATTAAAACATTCAAAATTAACAGTTTTTCTGTTCATTATCAGAATCTTCTGAAATCTTTACCAAACTTGCCTTTGTTGACAAAAGGTTCCCATATCAATATGTTTACACAATGATTAAATAAAATTGGTATTTACATTTAAACCTTCTATCATTAAAAAGCTAGGTATTTCAAAATGTAGTTTAATTTTTTTACAGGTTTAATTTTATAAAAAAAAACAATGTTTTTTTTTCTTTAGTATCCAGGACAAGTGTCACCTGCATACAATATTCTAAAGGTAATCTAAAACAATAATATTATTCATTAGCATATAGACATTAAAAACAAACTATTTTTATATAAAATAATGAAGGTTTTTGACAAATATACCTGGACCGGGATTCTAGTCAGGTAAAATCCTGTTTTTTTTTGTTAAAAAAAAATTGTTTGAATTTTACAATTTTCATATTTTAATTAGCATGATTTTTGCAACCGCTGTTCTACTTTTTTTATCAAATTTGATAAAAAGTCTTGGATTTGAACAGGTAGAAGTAAATAAATGAATTTATTTAATACATGAATGGCATATTGAGATCAATAAAAACTGTACATGAAAATCAGGGAAAAATAAGTCAATTAGGTTAGGTCCAAATTTGTGCATGCTTCTGGGTTTCAATTTTCAAAGCGAATTTTCAAAGAAATTATTATAACCAAATATCCTAAATGTTGCAATTACAGAAAATTTAGACAAATTAAAAACGAACACTTTGAGTCCACATTACTTCAATAATACTTATCTCAGTAAGTCAACTTTGGTGTATTAAGAGAGCTCTTAATGTTACCAACAATTACTCTCTTATATATTTATGTAGCTTAGGAAGAGATAATCAAGCTCAATTTTGAAACTTTTCTCAAACCTAAATTTTTTAAATAATCCAAATGCAAAGTCCCATATTGATATGAAGAAAAATAAAACAAATTCTAGCAGAATTAGAAACTAAAACTTATTGTTGACTTAACTTTCAATTAAACACTTTCAGCCTGATAATGTTCTAATAGCATTGCTGCCGTTGTCCTTACTGAATGCAGAGGGCATGCCAGACTGGTTTCTGTTCAACAACAAGAGATGTAAAACAAGATTTATTTGATTTTAAAAATTCCGAAACCTTAAAATTTTAATTTTATTAAGTGCTCTCTGGAAGTCTTTTGGTTTTAATTTGGGCTTTAGCTTCAACGCTCCTCACATTTGCTTTCTCCTGCAATCTCATGCAAGTTAAATATTACTGTCTTTTTATTTCTTTTCGTTAGTCAAGGGACTTGAATCCCTTATAAATAATTTTACAATTTTATGTATAATAGCCAAGTAATAGTTGAAAACCATATTTAAACATTTCTTTGACCTAGGGCGATAGTACTTTCACCTGCTACCGGTGTTCCTCTTGATACATCATCTGAAATTGTTGAAAGAAAAATGGTTAGTTAAAGTAATACAAATTTGAACTTCTCAAAATCCTAAATCATCCGTACGCCAATGGGTTAACAATAATGTTATTGTAATATATGAAAAAACCTAGAAAGATATCTTAATCTCTCCAGTGGAATTACAAACCCCCTAAATAAAAATCTGAAACCCTCCAGTGGACTTATAAACCTCTTAGATAGATATCTGTATCCCTCCAGTGAAATTATAAACCCCTTGGAATGATATATGAATCCCACAGTGGATTTATAAACCCTTTGGAAGAATATCTGAATCCCTCCAGTTGAATTATAAACTCCTTGGGAAGATATCTGAATCCCTCCAGTGTAATTTAAATCACCCTGCAAAAAGTTTCAAATTGTAAAAAGCATTTTTTCAAACCCCTCCAGTGAAAATACATTCCCTCCAGTGGTCTCTAGTGGAGTCAAAATCTAACTATTAACTTCTGATTCTCAAATATTTGTATAAATAAATTAAGTTAGACATTGCCAATATATTGCGTCAAAGCAAAATATTGTCTAGATTAGGGTTTCCAAAACAAGTGGATTTTATTTGCTCGCAATTGCAAGCTCTTGAGCGCAAGTGAATTTAACTGCGCAAACAGAATTGTGCTGTGTTTCAATTTTTTGATAAAATTCAATTTAAACCTTATGACGCGCAATAAATGCAATTATTTATTGCGCAATTCCTTTCAACAACAAAATATTCAATTTTAACTTTGGCAGGGGCATACCATAAACAGAAATTCACTAATATTTCAGTCTAAAATGCTATGAAAATTGAATTTAAACTTAATATTTTCTTTTATAATATTCATTTGCAGCGTGATAACGAGAAAAATATAATGGCATAAGATGACGCGCAGTTTAGACTCAAGCAGACCCATGTAACTGGATTACTGATTTAATAAGTTACTAATTAATTTTGTTCGACTTGTAACATTAAATACACTGTGATGTCGTCTTTCAGTTCCATAGTTTTCTGGTTCTCACTGTAGCAAAATATAAAATTTTGATTAAACGAACCTTACAATTTTAACCAAAAAAAATTTTCGTTTTAATGTTTATCCAATGTTAACAAAAATAAAATAATTAGTAGCTTAACCACAAGAAATTTTAAAATTTTTTAACTGTAGAAACAAGTGACACTCGGGCCTCGATTATTTAAAAATCAACAGAGATATTTAATTCCATTCTTGTATCTGCTGCATAAATTTGTAAGTCAAACATTTAAAATTATTGATTTTTATATATGAAACCAATTCTAATGTACTCAATTCCACACAATTCCGCTCAATTCCGAGCAATTCTACGCAATTCTTCTCAATTCCACACAATTCCGTGAATATTTAATTGCTTTCTTTTTTGCAATTTTAGCGCAATTGCACGCAATGAAATGGTGCAAGAGGAAGCAACCATTGCGCGCAATTCCACACTATTCTGCGTAACAGAATTCCGATTGGAAACCCTAGTCTAGATTTTTTGGGTGTATGGTTTAAAAGAAAGAAAATCTGTTCATTGTTGCATGTATCTATAAAGCTAGAAGTTACTGGTCTGACTACTTCTTGTTATCTCCAAATCCAGATCAAGTCAAGCTGATGGAAACTGTCGTCTTTATCAATGATACGGTAATATTTAAGCAAATTCAAAACACATTCCTTATTGTAACGAAACTGGATCTTATTTTGATTTTATGAATGTTCTCTGTACCAAGAAGGTTCAATTCTGTATGAGAGAGAAAAGTAGGGAAGGTCAACGTTCCAATTATTATCAGTGAAAACTGTACATCTTAAATTATTATCAAAATTTAGAAATTGGATTTTGATAAGAGGCAAATGTTAAAAAATTCCTTTATTCATAAACTTTCCCTGGGGGGTCACATTTATTAAAACACAAACAGACAGAAGATCAAAGTATATATATATATAGAGATGGTTAATCTCTTAGTTTTATCAGTGTATATAAAGCATAATAAATTATTTTCTAGATTGAGGCAGTAAAACAAACTTATTATGATAAAGATGCTGTTCTCATGAATGCTAAGGTATAAACTAATAAAAGATAAATTGTTAAATATTTATTTATGAGAAAAATTAGAAATTTATATTTTTATTTTACAGTGGATTAAAGAAGTTGAATTTATACTCCTTTGAGAAAAATTAGGAATTTATATTTTTAATTTACTGTGGATTAAAGAAGTTGAATTTGAACCACTTTGTCTTAAAAAATTACTTTTCTTCCTTTTTTTGTGCAAAGTGAATATGTACACATGAAACTAGTCCAGTAAACTTTTACAACATTATTCATGTTTTAAACTAAATTTTCAAAATTTTTGTTCTGTTCAAATTTTAGGCATAACAAATTACTTGTGACAAGACAAATTCAAAAATAAAAAAATCCAAAAAAAATGTGTAACCAGTTCTAAGGTTGTAGTTTTAAAACTTTAAAATTAAAATGTTTTAAATTTTAACGGCAGATTTCCACTCTAATGTTTTGAGGTTTTTTTGTTACATCTAATTCAATTTTCAAAGAATTAAAAAAACTTATTAAATTAAACTAGAATTTATAAAAACGCCCTCTGAACTAGTCGTAAAGTTGAAAATTAATTTAATGCCCAACCTTTTAAAGTTAGCAGTCTTGTGATAATGCATTTTATCTACTTAGGTTTTCACAAAATGACAATATTCTTTGCGCAAATATATTTTGTGAACTTGTGTGTGCATCTTTTGCAAAAAATACACAATAAATGAATCAGGCATTGCCATTTTTTGCATGGAGGGTCACTTGAAATTATGCTTGTCCCTTAAATCATTGATTATAAGAAACAACAGTTTATGCTTTCAAAGGTTATTCAATATTTTCAATTGTATATCATTTAAAATAATTAACATTTCAATTTCTCAATTAAAAAAAAAATAAAAAACATTCTTAACCCCCCACCCACCCCCTCCTCTGGACTTTAACTTAAAATGACCTTTTTCATAATCAAAAAAAAAATTGCAAAAAAACAGAGTTGAAAAAAGAGCAATAATGCAATTTTGCTCGAAATTTACTTTTGCCAATGATAAAACAAAAGAAATATTTAGAGTTTTGTTTCTGACAAAATTGCACAAACGTTTAGTGAATGATGACCCTATATTTAGAGCAGAGTAGAAGCAGCTGTGAGGGAGGACCCAGAGTTTCTTGAGATTCTGTTGAAAACTAAAGAACCTCCTTTTTATTATGGAAAGGTAGATTATATATTAATATATTCATCATTTATATTTGTCTACAGAAAAATTTCATAAAAAAATATAAAAGTTTACAAACTAATAATCTTTTCTCTGGATATCGCATTTTATAATTGACAGGGTTTGCCAAAAAACAGGTGCAATACAAGACTTTTAGCATGAGTATAGTTTAGCTATTCAGCGGTGGTTTTTAGAAATGGAGTTTCTATAGAATCTTCTTATTTGATGGTGAGATATATAGCCAATTTCAAAAGGATGAACAGACACTTACCTAGTTGTTATGTCTGTGATAAAATGTTCATACTAAAAATATTTTTCTGCATAGTCTGTGATGGAATTTTAGCGGAGCCAATTTTTAGATTGTCTAATTTAGATTGTAAGAGTTAACTGTTTCATCACCCAGTATTCTTATTCCAGTGTATGCTTGTGTCATAGTTGTTTTGTACAGGGTGGATATTGAAGTGATGTCTAGGCCAGGTTTCAAGTGTAGAGCAGCATTTGTTGAACAGGGTGGTAATCCAGTCCATTTTTTCTCAAAAGAACTGAGTCTTTGTAACAAACTCTGACTTTCTAATACCTATATTTGTTCCACCTGATGGTGTAAACCTTTGATATGTTAGATTTTTTCATCTAACAGAATTCATAGATTGAAATAGCTAAGGTCTACAGCATTGGATTACAAAGATATAGAGATTAGAAAATGAAAGTTTGTGACAAAGACTCAATTCCTTTATAAGTAAATGTGTCTAGTTTCTTCAGATGACTCTGTAATATTGTATGAACAGTGAGCAGAAATCGAATAGAAGAAATGTATATCCAGACTTTATAACTATCCTTAATAAAAAATGCATTTATATTTATTAGTTTTTTTTTCAAATTCACTCTTGATGTAATCGAACAGATCAATCAGTTTACCAGTAGGAAATAAAAGTTTGCCAAGGAATTTCTGCTCTTCTTGAAATATATTTGGAATTTCAGTTTCACCAATAGAAAAGTTTATTCTGCTAGTTACACCTGATCTGATGGAAAATGATCTACACTTTGCTGGTTTTAATCTCATTCCCATACTTTCAATCTTGGATTTTAATTCATTTTGAATTTTTTGATGTTTTCTCAGATCTTTTGTTATCAGGCAAAAATCGTCAGCATATGGCAGAGTATTAATTTTCCATTCATTCAGATTAAATCCCCGATCAATCTTACTCTGTAGAAATTCAATGATTGGATTAAAAACCATCAGAAATATGATGGGACTAAGTGGGTCACCTTGAAATACTTCTCTTTTAAAAGGGAATCCATAAGTAGAGAGGTTGTTCGTAAATACACAGGAAAGATGCTTATTTTACAGGGTATTGATATAAAGCTGAATTTCTGCAGGAACATTAAACCTTTTGAGGGTATATATTATGAGAGGGTGGGGCACTGAACCAAATGCATCTTCTAAATCGAAAAATGTTACATGGACCGTTTTCAAGTTTGTCTTTGCTTGGCTTATAATGTCTTCAAGGATGACATTATGCTCAATACTGCCGTTAATGCTCAGCAGAAAGGCCTTCGGTACCTTCTCATCAATATAATTATTAGCAGTTAAAAACTTGGTCAGTCTTTTTGCAAAAAGGAAATGGTAAGTATTTGCAATAGAAGATGTAAGAGATACCATTTGAAAGTTTCCTGGGCCATAGTCGGTCCTTTCTTGTGTAGTAATTTGACCACACTGTGTGACCAGGAAGGGGGAAGAGATCCCAGAACATTCACTTTATTATACAGGGTGGCTAAAATGTGGCTATATATATTTAAATGATATCTCATACGGGATACCATCAGGACCTGGAGAGGATTTTAAATTTGCACTTTTTAGTATTTTTTAGTATTTTTTTTACATCCTTTTGACGTAAGGGCTCACAATTGAATGGTTTGAAATTTGGAGATTCATGGGTTATTGACAAAAAGGGGAACCAGTTTAAACTGTTCAATGTGGTATTTTCACCGCAAACTCACTCTTTTGCAATTATAGTTCTATCAATAACCTGACAACGTCATATATCAGGCAGATTCTATGTGACGAATCAGCCAGCATACAAGCTATCATCTTTGCAGTCTGACAGTCTCATATATGTCAGGTTAATCATCTGTGTCGGTTCAACCATCATATGATCTATCATTTGTACAATCTGACAATAACATATTTATCAGGCTAATTCTGTATTTATCGAATCAGCCGTCATATGAACTATCAGCTTTGTAACTTAATAGCACCCTCTTCCCTCTTACACTACATTTCACACATTATAACATTTATTAACAATAACACTCTATAACAATACTATACAACAAACATTATAGGTTACTGTAACAAATCATAGATAAGCTAGGATTCCTAACTAGATCCATAAGGATCATATTAGTTAACCGTTGATCCTTTTATTAAGGATCAACACATTGATCAATCCATTTGCCATATCTTGATCTTCCTTTTTCCAGGTGTACTGGTGAACACAACCCCATATCTGTTGGAGCATATCCCAGACCTGGAGTTTGAGGCGGAAGTTCAACTCCTCATGGTTTGCTTCAGGGTAGAGATGAAACTCCCTTTCCCATGCAGCATTAAGGTCCCATGTGTAATCATCTGGGACCGCAGGTGGTTGACCCGTACTAGCTCCTCCTTGTGTATCAACATCAGAAGATCTAGATTGATCCTTCAATGCTTCAATATCCTCAAAGAGGCTCTTCAATGCTTCAACCAACTTCCTAGCTCCAGTCAGTGGATACTTCTTCAATAGTTCATTAAAGGGATTCTCTGGTACTTCAGCAACATCATCACCAGCTGCCTCTCCATCCTCAGAAGCTGGAGCAGTTACAATAGGAGCCTGTCCACTGACCAAGGGACTCAGGTCCACAGGATCAATGTTATCAAAGTCATCATCTTGTCCATCATCCGGTGTCTGTCGGCATGCAGAGTCTGTCATCGTTTGGCCTTCCATGCTCGTTCTTTCGCAAGCTAACTGTATGCTATATAATGTATAAGACCCAAACCTTTACTGGTAGACGACTGCTATGTGTGCGTGTCTACTCTTCTAAGGTTCGGGTTATACTATCAAGTCCTGAAAGCGGTATGTTGTACAGGACCCAGAGCGGCTATATGTAGGAGACTTTATGTGTGTCTTCTACGGTGGCTCGGGTTGTACTGACTCAACATCCCGTTGTATCTAAGGGACCGTTCACCCTTTTCTTGGATCGTCCAGGATACAACATCAAGTCTATAGATACTGGGTGTGCTGTATTTTTTCTGAGTAGTAGTTGTTTACAAATCCTAGGTTAAAGGTTGGTTTCAATTTCTCCTGTAGTAATGATCCCTTGACAGCTTGTTTAGAAAATTCCCAACAGTTTTTGTGAAACATTTTTTCTTGGTGTGTGGTAGTTTTGAGAAAGAGTCTTCTTTTTCTACTTTTCTAAGCTCACTAATCATATTTTATTTCAGTTTATTTCCAAATATTTTTCGACAAAATGTTGTGCACAATCATAGACACTCCAGGATTAACCTATCATGACACACATCTGTAACGGTGCCTTTCTGTTTTGGGAGTTTTATGTGGATAATATCAAAAGGCTGTAACATATCTGTACAAAAATGCTTTTATCAATGATCTGTATTATTAATATTATTATTGTATATGAAAGAAAATAACTAGATGCAAACACTTGTAAATATAATATTCGTCGAGTCGGTTTTTCTTACAATTTATTATTTACAAAGATACAAAATAAAACAATTGATACTATACTAATAGGATATTATGAATTGAAGCAGTTTCAGAGTGATGGGCAATCTTCAAGGGAACCTCAGTTTAAGGGAGCTGACGATCAACTGATTTTTTTTCCCTTCATTTCGCTCCACCCTGGGCTCTCATTTAACCCTAGTTCCCCCTGCACTGGCCGGCTAGCCCCCCCAGCCCCCGTGCTTCTGGAATAACGGAACTTTCAGCTTGACTTGGGTTATTTATAGAATTCACATGCAAACTCAAATAAATCCGTTAGAATTCAAAATAGGATTCAAAAGTCCAACCGAACGGTATAAAGGGGGGGGGGGGTTATGCCCCTAGCCAGCTATAATCTGAGCGATCTAAAAAGATCCTTGAATCGCTGATCATAAAAGATCAACAAAATCACCCATTGTTACATTATCATTCACTTCAAACTATCTTAGGAAAAACTATGGCCCTTTTATGGTTTTTGGCTGATGCATAAGAATTCTATTTGGTCTGAACATATACATTATCATTTATTAGTTTGTCAGCAGGTAAGAAAAAATAAAATTCTCAAGTATATCTATCATTCATTGTTTGTTAAGGGTGAATTAGAAAGAAAAGTGTGGAATAGTATAATTGGAAAACCAATGTTTCCAGAATATTCTTCAAATTTGGTAAACATTTAATAACAAATGAAATAAAACATATTAAATAATAATAATTATTTATTTTTAATTTTCTGATTAATTAAAGAGTTAGTATGTAAAAAGATAATAATATTTTTTACTTTTTATTTATTCAATGTTCTATAAAGTAAGCATTCAGCAAGATGATACCAGGCACGATATGAGACCATTGATCTTATTTATTAATTTAATTGATGTTAATATTAACATACAAATGTTAATGCTAATTGATATTAACATCAAAATTAACATTTAGGTATATTTAATATACTGACAACCATAAACTTTTATGAAATGAAAAGTCAATGTTAATGTTAATGTTAATGATAATGTTAATGTTAACATTATATACTGACAACTATAAACTTTAATGAATTGTTTAAAGTCAATGTTAATGATAATGTTAATGTCAACTATATATACTGAATACCATTTTTAATGAATTGTTTAAAGTCAATGTTAATGTTAATGTTTATGTTAATGTTAACGTTATATACTGACAACCATAAACGTTAATGAATTGTTTAAAGTCAATGTTAATGTTAATGTTAATGTTAACTTTATATACTGACAACCCTAAACTTTAATGAATTGTTTAAAGTCAATGTTAATGTTAACGTCAATGTTAATGTTAATGTTAATGTTAACTATATATACTGAAAACCTTAACTTTAATAAATTGTTTGAAGTCAATGTTAATGTTAATGATAAATTTAACATTATATTCTGACAAATCTCATGCAAGTTAAATATTACTGTCTTTTTATTTCTTTTCGTTAGTCAAGGGACTTGAATCCCTTATAAATAATTTTACAATTTTATGTATAATAGCCAAGTAATAGTTGAAAACCATATTTTAAACATTTCTTTGACCTAGGGCGATAGTACTTTCACCTGCTACCGGTGTTCCTCTTGATACATCATCTGAAATTGTTGAAAGAAAAATGGTTAGTTAAAGTAATACAAATTTGAACTTCTCAAAATCCTAAATCATCCGTACGCCAATGGGTTAACAATAATGTTATTGTAATATATGAAAAAAATGAATAAAGAAATTCAAGTCAACAACACATATTATCAAATATTCAGCGAATCGGTTTTACTATTTATTATTTACACAAAAATGAATACGTTTAAGATGATCCTATACTAATCAAAATGCATAAATAAGTATTATCCAGAATGATGAGGATCTCCAGGGGAACCTATTATTCAGGGAGCTGGCCCCAGGAATAACGGTTTATCTGGCGTGGCTTGGGTTATATATAGATTTTTCACATAAACTCACAATAAATCCATTAAGTCTGTACCAAAGGGGGAGGGGGGTAAAGAAGGGAGGATTCAAAAACAATAACTCTTCTTTTTACAACGCAGGAAAGATCAAATCATCACTCCCCTGCTACATTATGTTTAAAACCAAATGCTGAACATGTTGATGAAAAAAATCATTAGAAACTTGATTGTTTTTTATCAAAGCTGAAAACTTTAGAATGGTGGATATCAAGATCCTTTATTTTTCTTAATAACAAGACTAACCTAATCTTTTACTATTATCTTAAAGAGTGAAAAAAAATTAACCAATCAGATATGAAGCTGATAAATTAATAAATTTGCGCGCCATTTAAAATTATATACAGAAACAGGTGGGACTCTCTATTTTAAAAAGACGGTTTTTTTTATTTTTCTTTACTTTATTCAAGAAAGAACGGTTTAAGAAGAAAATCAAAAGTGTGTCCATTGGATATTAGACAAAGTAATCGGGATTAAGGATATCTCATTCTAAAGTTTTCAGCTCTGAATATAATATTGTTATATAACATAGAGATAACAAGAATATTCTATAAATAAAATAAATATCTTTTCAGTATATGATCATGGAAGAAATTGGTAGGATACTCAGCAAATATCTGTCTTTTAAATCTACCACAGCCAAACAAAAAAAAAATTCATTATTCTTTTCAGTAAATTTTTAGACTCAAAGAAGTTCATAGTAAGATTTTGATTCTACTGGAGACCACCGGAGGGATTTCATTTTCACTGGAGGGATTCAAAAAGTCACTTTTTTCAATTTGAAACTTTGAGCATGGTGATTTACAATTCACTGGAGGGATTCAGATATATATTCATTGGTTTTATAATTCCCCCGGAGGGATTCAGATCCACTGGATCCCTCCAGTGGAATTGGAATTATAAACCCCCTAGAAAGATATCTTAATCTCTCCAGTGGAATTACAAACCCCCTAAATAAAAATCTGAAACCCTCCAGTGGACTTATAAACCTCTTAGATAGATATCTGTATCCCTCCAGTGAAATTAT